TTTGGGTGTGATGGACTGAGTTGTGGTCTTCGACCGAATAGTGTGGGGTAGGGAGGGAGAGTGGGGTCCTAACATCTTGGGGGCCTTTAAATAAGAGAGTGAAATGTCCAGGTTGGTTTGTTACTATGCTGTCTACCCCGTAAAGAATGAACTTGGGATAGAGGGAGGCTAGAGGCTAGATAAGAAGTGTTTGCTCTTATTAAGGGTCGGAATCTGGGCAGAGGTACTGGCTGTAGAGGAAGGGTAGATCGGAGAGTCATTTTAAGAGTTCTGAGCAGTTTGGTCCTTTGGAGGTGGGGCAGAGTGGGGCATCGGGGTGATCCCGAGGTGCTAGCCGGAGGACTCGGTGGGTGATGGCATCAGGGGAAGGAGATCCTACGCAGCAAATAGGAGGTTTCCATGAATGGGAATCCATTGTCCTGAGTTTGAGGAGGGTTTCAGGGAACTGGGAAGGTCCCAGGAGAACTGATTGTTTTCACCCTCCCTGAGGTGTTATCTTCCGCAGTTATCAACTTCAATTGTGATGTTTCTGAAACAGCTAAGTACACGCTGCTGCTTCCTGGGCTGGCTAGCTCATGATTTGCAGCTTGGAAAGAAAACTCCCATTCTTGGAATTTAGGGAGTTGGAAAATAGAAAACCAGCATGATCCTTGCAACACTTGCTCTGCTGGACCATCTCCACACCTTCCTTTTTTCCATTCTATCCTCTTAGGTGGGGATTCCCCTCCTTGGCTGCACATTACAATCACCTGGGGTGCTCACTTCTTAAAAAAAAAATGGATGTCAGGGTCTCCCCTAGACGAGTTAAACCAGAAGCTTGGGTTGGGGGTGGGTGGAGAGGGGGCCAGCCATCTGTATGCCTTAAAAGCTTCCCGGGTGATGCCGATGGGCAGCCAGGGTTGAAACGGCAGCGCTTGGGCGTGCTTCCACTTCTTTGCCCAGCTACGGTTGATCTTTAGTCTCCGTTCTCCTCTTACTTGGTGGGAGATAATAGTCCTTTGGGTGGCAGACACTTTTCTGCTGTGCCATCTTTCAGACCAGGGGGGACAAAAGTACGCCCCAGACTGAGGGCATTAGAGACCAGCCTCCTCTGTTGTCATGCACACGTGATTTGATGTGCTTGGCCGTGTCAGTAATAATAATACCCATGGCTAACGCGTACGGAACACTTCATATGCCCGAGCACCCTTCTATCATACGCGTGAAGTCACTCACTCTTAGTAACAGCACTGTGAGACGTGTTTAGTTGTTATTCCTATTTTCCAGATGAGGAATAGGAGACTCGGATTAACCCGTTTGCCCAAGGTCCCCGGACTGCCCTGCTCTGGGGCCGGGATCAGGCTGCACTTTCATTCCTGGGCTGTGGGACCTGAGGGTACAGTGGAATGAACTACCCCTGCGGACTGAGGGACGGTGTCTGCCCAAGCTGTGGATCTTTTTTCCCACGGTAGAGAGTTGGTCAAATCCATCTTTTCTTTGGCATGGGTTAGTTCAAGATTTGGAGGATCTCTCTCATCAAATCACTTGAGCTGTGCGACGGACTTAAATTTTGTCAAACTGTGAGCCCGTTCTGGAACAATAAGAAAGCTTTTTCTGTGACTCTTCAATCTTGCCAAAAAAGGAGTAACTGAATAATGTAGGTCACTTCCTGCTTGTCCAGTTTTGCTGGGGATGGTTACATATGTATGCACTACGGTGTGTGTGTGTGTGTGTGTGTGTGTGTAAATATTATTTAGAGCAATGGGGGCTGGGTTTTCTAACTTCAAAGAAATAAAAAATATTAGTAACTTTTCTTTCCTCTTCTGCCTTGTCCCTCTTCCCTCTACCAAGTGGTTGAATTCTTCTCACACCTTTCTTCTCCTTTCCCTGTACCTGACTTTAGTATTATTTTTAACTCACACATAATCACAATAAAACATGTCTTCTGTGATTTCCATTAAGATACAATAGGTGAAGGGTTCTTAATGAACCCTTTTCATAAAGACCCAGTCATTGGGAGTCTGTAATGTTTCACCTGAATTCTATTGGCAATATAATGGAAGAATAGTATCGGTATTTTTCAAAAGCCTTCAAAGCCATTACCTGATGTTTTAAATACAAAAACATTTTCTTAATATCACTATGAGATCATGGTTTTAGAAGCCTTTATTGTCTGTTTTGTACGTCTGTAAAGTAGGTCAATAAGAATAGAGTGGTAAAGCAATTGTGATTTTTCAGCGTCACCTGCAGATACTTTTAAATGTCAAGTAAACTAATGCAAAGTCTCTCAGTAAAGTCTATATTTATTTTTCCAAGCAATATTACATATAGTAATAAGATCTGGAATTATGAGCATAGATGACCCAATGGCATAAGTCAGCGGTTCTCAACCTGTGGGTCGCGACCCCTTTGGCGGTCGAACGATCCTTTCACAGGGATCACCTAAGATCATCCTGCATATCAGATATTTACATGACGATTCATAACAGTAGCAACATTACAGTTATGAAGTAGCAACGAAAATAATTTTATGGTTGGGTCACAACATGAGGAACTGTATTTAAAGGGCCAGAAGGTTGAGAACCACTGGCATAAGGTTGAGGGATGCATATGTTTAGCATCCCTCAGTTCTTTTGGTTTGTAAAAAAAAAAAAAAGTGTGTGTGTGGTGGGGGAGGGGGAGGGCTTTTAGTGATTTTTCAGAACCAAGAACAATTTAGTTCGTACTCATGGGTTTGGGTTTGTGTGGTGCAGGCTGATGAGGAGCTGGTGCGGGAGGGCTGCATTCTGTGGTTAATCAAATCTGTTCTGTTGGAAATGTAGTTATTCTTAAAATGGCTATATCTTTACATGTATTCATTCAGCTGTTTTTATGGGCTAGTTTTCCAGGATTCTTTTTGGGGTGTGGCTTTAATTCTTATTTAGATGGTCGTGGGATGCTAATAAAACTTCTGGACCGTGGTGATATGATCCCATAAATATCTGTTCATTTGAATTGGATTGTCAGATGTTGGTCCTACCACCACGGTAGCTATTCTAAACCCTTTGGGTCACGATTGGAGGAAATAAAACAGGTACTTTACCCTGTGAGTTGTCTGTTTCTGGGCTGCTCTCTGATTCAGTGGTTAGAATCAGAGACACTTCTAGAATTAATGACCAGATAGATATCTGGGATGTTCTTGAAGCCCTGGTTTCAGATTTTTTATTTTTATCTTTAGGTTATTCATAGAAGTAGGAAGTTCTGTTCATCTTTTTTTTTTAAAGAAAAACTTTTTGTATATAAATCCAATTATATTTTTAGAAAGTAAAAGTATAAAATTCCAATCTGATGATTTCCTGGAGCAGTGGTTCTCAACCTTCCTAATGCCGTGACCCTTTAATACAGTTCCTCATGTTGTGGTGACCCCCAACCATAAAATTATTTTCGTTGCTACTTCATAACTGTCATTTTGCTACTGTTATGAATCGTCATGTAAATATCTGATATGCAGGATGTATTTTCATTGTTACAAATTGAACATGATTAAAGCATAGTGATTAATCACTAAAACAATATGTAATTATATATGTGTTTTCTGATGGTCTTAGGCGACTCCTGTGAAAGGGTCATTTGACCCCCAAAAGGGTCGCGACCCACAGGTTGAGAACCGCTGTCCTGGCACGTGTTAGCAGTCACGGTGCTGGGCTGGGAGGGGGCAGCAGTTCTGTGAGGCCCACCCGAGGCACTGTGCTCCATCATCAACCCCGGGTCCTTCTCTTTCTTCCCGTCACATGCCCTGAATGTACATCCTCAGCTGTGAGCGTATCTAAAAATGGTGCTTTGGCCGGGCCGGTGTTGCTCAGTGGTTGAGCATGGACCCATGAACCAAGAGGTCACTGGTTCGATTCCTAGTCAGGGCACATGCCTGAGTTGTAGGCTCTGTCCCCAGTAGGTGGCGTGCAAGAGGCAGCAGGTCGATGTTTCTCATTCATATTTCTATATCTCTCTCCCTTCCTCTAGCTCTAAAAATCAATAAAACCACATTTTAAAAAATAAAAATGGTGCTTTGACTAAAAGATGAATGTGGGGGGTTCAGATTACTTTATTTTTCTGGCAGTAGAGGGTTATAAGTTGAAAGCTGCTGTTTTTCTCCTCCATATAGTTGGAAATATTTCTAAGTAATTCACACGTTTTTCCAACCCAGTGAAATGAATCTGGCTGGTGTGTGGGGCCTGGTGCATGATGATCTCGCAGTGCCTGGAAGCAGTTGTTCTTAGCTGACTGCTCAGAGCAGGAACTTTGTTGCTCTGTGGATGCTAAAGCAGATGTGTGACAGTGCGTGGGACGTGTAAGCCGACTTTATTTTCTGGCGGCTCATTAAGAAACAAACCTGATTACAGCACCACAAACGAATGGTGCTGGAAGGAACTTCAGGGAACACCCACCTGCCAGGACCAAGTCTGGGTATCAGAGAGAAGCGACTCTTCATAGGCCACTTCTGGCTCACAGGTCTCCCTGATGACCCGGGGAGAACTGGAATTCGGGTTGGTGGGCTCTCATCCGCTACGGCAGCGGTTCTCAACCTGTGGGTCACGACCCCTTTGGGGGTCGAACGACCCTTTCTCAGGGGTCGCCTAAGACCATCAGAAAACACATATATAATCACATATTGTTTTTGTGATTAATCACTATGCTTTAATTATGTTCAATTTGTAACAATGAAAATACATCCTGCATATCAGATATTTACGATTCATAACGGTAGCAAAATGACAGTTATGAAGTAGCAACGGAAATAATTTTATGGTTGGGGGTCACCACAACATGAACTGTATTAAAGGGTCGCGGCATTAGGAAGGTGGAGAACCACTGCGCTACGGTCTCTTTTCCTTCCTTCCTCTTAGAAGCAGAAGCCCTCCGTGACCTCTTCTGCACCCCTCCTAGTCAATAGACAAGAGCGGGTAGTTGGGGTCCCAGGTTTTCCTACTGTAAACTTGTGGCGGTGTTATATAACGTTGCTTTCCTTTTTTTTTTTCTTTCAGCAATAGGCGAATATGAAGACCTCAGAGCAGAGAACCAGAAAACAAAAGAGAAGGTTTGTACTTTACCCTTTCTTTCCTCTCTTCCATGTGTAAAAAGCCTAGATGGCATGGTGCATTGTTCTGCCACCAATTTCAGTTAAATGCGAATGGGAGTGGGGTGTTTTTTTTTGTTTTGTTTTGTTTTTTCTTTTCTCCTGCATGTGTGGTTCAAGCTTCTATCAACTCCAGCCTCCAGATGGTGGAGAATAGCAGGCATGCCACAGTGGGCGCTGCTCTGGGAGATTAACTACCCAGCTAAATGCAGCCAGGCACCCGGCCAAGCAGCTCAAGCCCCCAAGAATTGTACTTTCCCCCAACAGTCAGATTTGGGATTCTGGTGATGGAATGGAAGGCCTGACACATGTACTTTTGGGGTTTAGACATGCTAGATTCTGGAGGGAACTGTTTGGAATGAATCCTGGGTGGTTAGCCCAAATGCCTCCATAAACTTTTCGTCTGCTTACTTCCTTTAAGTATGTAAATAACATACCGGAAGTTGAAAAATACCCAATGTGAAGACGGGGAAGCCTGGTGATGATTTTCAGGGACCCTGGAAGTTTTATTTTTAAACTGTTAAATAATTGAACTCACTCACGTTTACAGACTACTTATCATTTTGACTCTCAACATGTTTATTGAAAATTAGTGTGTGTGTGTGTGTGTGTGTGTGTGTGTGTTCCCTGCAAATTTAGGGGGGGACAAATGGGAGGGAAGGCTAATTTTTTAAAAAGTAGAAAGCGCCCTAACCAGTTTGGCTCAGTGGATAGAGCATTGGCCTGTGGACTGAAGGGTCCCGGGTTCGATTCTGGTCAAGGGCATGTAACTTGGTTGCGGGCACATCCCCAGTGGGAGGTGTGCAAGAGGCAGCTGATGGATTTTTCTCTCTCTCTCTCATATCGATGTTTCTAACTCTCTATCCCTCTCCCTTCCTCTCTGTAAAAAATCAATAAAATATATATATTTTAAAAAAGTAGAAGGACTGAATAGAAAATGAAAAGTAGGAGAGAACAGAACCGCCCATTACTGTTTTTCGACATAAATGAAATTTACTTTTCCTTGGATGTCTCCTCCATGGATGTTCCCGGCCCAAGAGGGGAAAAGCAAAACCAGTTGGAAGGGTTAACTCAGGAGAACTCTTTGACTTAACCTAGAAGATACGAGGAGGGGAAGCAAACAGGTGTCTTCATAGGATGGAAAAGGAAGGACATAGAAGAAAATGAATAGCGTAAGAGGAAGAATAAACTTTCTGTTGTCTCTTTTCTTCTTCTTTAATTCTTGCTTACTTGTAGCCCTAGCATTGCCCTAAAAGTAGATGTTCTGTAAACTCCTGTGTTGGTGGTGATGATGGTTATTGAACTGAGAGCCACTTTCTGCAGTGAGGGTTTAAGTCAGTGATGGCAAACCTTTTGAGCTCGGCGTGTCAGCATTTTGAAAAACCCTAACTTAACTCTGGTGCCGTGTCACATATAGACATTTTTTGATATTTGCAACCATAGTAAAACAAAGACTTATATTTTGGATATTTAGTTTATATATTTAAATGCCATTTAACAAAGAAAAATCAACCAAAAAGATGAGTTCGTGTGTCACCTCTGACACGCGTGTCATAGGTTCGCCATCACTGGTTTAAGTGAACCATCTGTTATGCGAGTGGAATCACAGGGAAAATGCATTTGGTAAAAGAAAGGTTATAAATTATCTTAGCCCATCCACTGTTTACACGTTTCCCTACACAGAGTATGGCCTAATACTTTTGTCACATCTGTATGCGTTATTGACCTGCTTCTGTTCTAATTCTTTAAAAATAACTATTAACAGAAATGGGAAGAAAGGAAGTGGAAGCAGCGTGGAATGCTGTGTGCTTGGGTAGAACAAAATAGAGTGGTTTTAAGTTCGCCGCACTCTGTTTATCTTCTGTTAAAAGACTAGCAGGCTTATTACTGAAGATTTTCCCCCCAAAAGGGGGGCTGTATTACAAAGGAGGGCAACATATAATAAAAGCCTTTTCTGCAGCATAGAATGAGTAAAAGCAGCTGTAGTTCCGGCCGTGGTGAGCGGAGAACACCATTTTCTCTGGCCACGCACGTTCTCGTGCCTGGCTGGGTGATCTTTGTCTCCTCCGCATCAGCAGGTATACGTGGCCATCCTTGCCTCACGGCCCCAACACAGAGTTCCGTGAAATCAATCAAGGACGGGAATCCAAAGGAAGACTCCACTTGCCATAGTTAATTTGAGGTGGGGAAATTTTTGCACGAGTGGAAGGGACCCAAAAAATAAATTGCAAGTTATTTCTCCCTTCCACATGTCCACGTTAAGTCTGACTATCTTTGTTGCCAGATCATTAACCTTATCCGTGGGAAGAGACAGCGGGTGCAATTCTTTTGGGTGATATATATATATTTTAAAAGAGAGTGAAAGGGAGGGGAGGAGACAGAGAGAGAAACATTGATGTGAGAGAGACACATCAATTGGTTGTGTCTCCTGCATGCGCCCCAACCAGGGTCAGGCATCAAGCCTGCAACCGAGGTATGTGCCTCTGACTGGAACTGAACCCAGGACTCTGCAGTCCACAGGCCAATGCTCTATCCACTGAGCAAACTGGCTACAGTGGGTAAGATCTTTTAGGCCTTGTTTGGAATCTCCTCTGTTGAGACAAGTGGTAGGACATGAATCTCCTCAGAGCAGGCGTTGCTTAAAAGGCTGTGTTCATTACTAAGTCACCATGGGTCATGTGCTCTCCTTTATCTCCCTTATCTGATGCTTCAAACAGCCCTGGGCCAGCTCCATTTCCGGAAGAACAGGACCTCAGGGTCCAACAGGCTCTACACTCAAACATGGGTCTTCTAACCACCACTGTTCTCTTTGAAGCAGGTGAACTTAAGGGAGCGAATTAACTTTTCCACAAAGGGCTCGGTCTTATTCACAATTCTTTATTGTTAGCTCGTGAACTTCCCACACGAATTTAATTCCACACGTGATCAGACTCAGTGCTTTCCTGGATCATTTGTCCATCCGTTTGTATTTAGAAACTGAAAGTTGAGTATCAGATCAATCTGTGTCAGTAAAATCCACGAGTGTGGGTGTGTGCATACAGCATTCCTGACATTCCTGCGTTCCAAGGATAAGAGTTGGAGATTTGGGAGGGTGGGCCAAAGTGTTCCTGATCTTTTCCTTTGCAGTGTTCCCTTTTTAAGAAATGTAATGACCCTCATTTTGTGGTTTTTATCATTGCCTTTGAAGGTGGGATCAGAATCTTTTTGAGTTGATGAGGAAAGCTTTTTGAAGGGAAAACTTTTTGTTGAATGGCTTCTGAGTACCGAAGTAAAAAAAATGCCCATGAAAGTCCCAGTCTACTGAGGGGCACAGGCAAGTTGACAAATAACTGTAAGAAACTGCGATGATAGAAGTGAATGCCTAGGGTTTGGGGGTGGATGGGAAAAGGACAAAAAACACAAGGTTCCTACTCAATGCCATGTGACATACTCTTCGTAGCTCATAATGCTTGGCTTAAATGCCACCTACTGTTTTTAAAGCCTCTAATTCTCTTAGGAGCAGAATTAATTGTTTGCTTCTTTGTAATAAAACATCTGAATATTTCTTATGCACTTATCGCATTTTATCAACACAAGTTCATTATTATCAAAATGTCTCGGGTACACATGTATGGGTTGGATCAAAATGTGAACACTTCAGTTTTTTTGTTTTTTATTTTTAACATCAAAGTAAGTGGAGATTTTGGAAAGGGTGCTACTTTCTGTTATTTTATTTTATTTATGCCTAGTTTCTAAGGAATGTTATCAACAGTATGTGAAAAAGCAAGAAAGCCTATCATATTGAAGTCAGCAACCCTTCCCAGACTGTTCTTTTGGGGGTAAGAGAAAACAGAGGACTAGTTATTTCAGAATCAACCAAATCAAATGTTTTACTTTGCATGTGAAGCAGTCTCCATATTCAAATGTTAGTCATGCTTCTACAATGGAAGCGCATTCTCTAATGACTCACTCAGGGTCCTTGTCATGACTGTTTGGGGGTTTTCCTACATGGGGGCGGCAAAGGCTCATGAGCGATGAGTGGAATAGCTTTCAGCTGTCTGAGGCTGGAGGGGGTGTGGGTGGAGCGGGCATATCAAGAAGGAAATCTGTGTAGCAGAAGAATGCCTTTAAACAGTACGTATTTGTGTCGAATATTATGAGCTGAGATGGAGATTGGAAATGCATACATGTGTAAGTGGCTGCTTAGACGTCGTTTGGCTGGGCTGCCGTCACAGTGCATCGGGCCCTTCTGTCAGCTCGCCAGGATCGAGGCATGGAAAGGGAAGGAGGCCGACCCTGTCCAAGATTGAGGTTTCGAGCAGCAAGGAAGACGATACTGTTTGCACCTTTGCTTGGTTGTCTGTTGTCAAAGTTTCCTCCTCTCGTGTTAATTTCAGAGGCGAAGGTCCCAAAGTGTTTTATTTAAGAAAAAAAAAAATCAATCAAGAAGCCACGTTTAAAGAGCAAGATGTGCACCCATTATGCTGACTGTTCATGCATAAAACATCCACATACATGCAGTTTCTTTAGAGCCGAGTGGCAAGTGGTTGTGCCAGAGAGAAAGTAATTACTCCGCAGTTTGAAAGTGAAAACGAGTCTCTTATTAACAGCAATCTATCCAGAAACAAAAGAGCAGGGATCTCCGGGCGGATGACATGTGCTCCCCTCCGACACACAATACCTAGAATGTGGAGAATGCTCCTGAGACAGCTCTCGGGGCAGCCGCTACTTTATTGCCTCTGGAACTTGGAGGGGAAAACTTTGAATTGGAAGAAAGAACACCACCAAAAAGGGAGAGACACTGAAAGGAATTCCATCCGCGGGGGAATGATTTCACTGATTGTGTTCTTTGAGGATAAGCACAGTGGAGTTCTGGCCAGACTTCCCTAGGTGGAACAATAGAACGGTCGATGATTATTGAAAAGGACTTGATGGTCCTCTGAGGCCATCGCCCGAGATTCTGAAACAGGTAAATATGCCCAGTTCCGATGCTTTTAAATATTGGAACTGGACATAGAAAGAGTGGCCGTCCAGAAGAATGAGTAAGAATGGGGTGGGTCGAGGCCTCTTTGCACTGAGTGGGACAGCCTCTGCTGTATGATCTGCAGTGTAGCGTTTCTCTCATGATAGGCAGTATTCTTATAAACTGCTTGCTGCATTGTTGATCTTTCCTGGTAGATCCTATGTTTTGTGGGAGCACGTTGTTTATTATGTTTCCCACTGTATTCCCCCCCCCCCCCCCGTGCTTACACGGTGCCTGGCACGTGTGGGTGCCCCAATTTGCTCAATGCTTGAGGAAGGAAATAGGGTGGCGTTCATGGATTATAGTCCATATGTGCTTGGAAGTCTAATTCAGCCAGCGGTAAGGTACTTACCCAGGTATAGAGTGTCCGCCCTGTTGGTGTAGTGCAGCGGTTCTCAACCTGTGGGTCATGACCCCTTTGGGGGTCGAACGACCCTTTCACAGGGGTCGCCTAAGACCATCGGAAAACACATATATAATTACATATTGTTTTTGTGATTAATCACTATGCTTTAATTATGTTCAATTTGTAACAATGAAAATACATCCTGCATATCAGATATTTACATGACGATTCATAACAGTAGCAAAATGACAGTTACGAAGTAGCAACGAAAATAATTTCATGGTTGGGGGTCACCACAACATGAGGAACTGTATGAAAGGGTCTCGGCATTAGGAAGGTTGAGAACCACTGGCTTAAAGCAACCGGTGCTTGTGCTGCTGGTCCTCCCCAGCCCTGGGCTCCAGAGAATCACGGGACGCCGTAATTAAGCGACGCGGGCCCACGAACATCTGTTGCTATTGCAAAGTCTTCATGAGCAATTCTCAGACAAAAAAGAAGCCATTTCTACAAATAGTGCAGCTGCAGGAGCAGGGTAGGGGAAGGGGCAGGGTGGGTGAGGGGTTCCTGTGGGATATAAAGATGAAACATTCGTCCCAAATGGCCCGCAACCCTTACTGCTTCTCTCTGCGGGGAGCATGAGAGCAAGGTTACAAGATATTTTCGTGGGTTCACCTGAAATGGCGAAATAAGTGGATGTTTGGATTTCTGCTTAGTGAATGGGCCTGTCGCTCATAGTTTGTTCAGCTCTGGGTGAGAATAAGCTGCATTTGCAGCATATGTAGATCCTTCCCCCCTCCCTCTGCCCTCCCCCCCCCCCCTTCCCGGCACACACCCCTTTCAGTAATCATAGCAGATGGTGAATTCTGTGGCTGCCAGTTCTGTCCTAATGTGGTTGTAGAAAATAGAAAGCCAGGCCACATGAAGACCCCTGAGAGAACACAGCTGGGGTTGGGGGACAGCGTCTGAATCTGCCAGTGAAGACCCTGGGGTGCGTGCACAGGCACCTCGCTAGACTATAGATTTGGGTCATTCGCAGGTCAGAACACGACTGTGAGGTTGAGACCTGTTACTAAGCAAAGCCCGTCTCCCTGCACCTTATGAGCAGAGAGCATGGGCATAACGCCTTCCTTGTGGGGCATTGGAATAAGCCTACCTTGAGTTGCCATGTGTTGCTAAGGACCAGTAAATGGTAGCTGCATTGGTGGTTTGTGTGTGATGACAGTTGGTGACTTTTTAAAAAATTAATATATTTTTATTGATTTCAGAGAGGAAGGGAGAAGGAGGTGGAGAGAGAGAATCATTGATTGGCTGCCTCCTACACGCCCCCTACTGGCGATCGAGCCCGCAACCCGGGTATGTGCCCTGACTGGGAATCGAACCGTGACCTCCTGGTTCATAGGTCGATACTCAACCCATGAGCCAGGCAGTGTTTAGAATTTTAAACACACACACACACACACACACACACACACACACACAAAATAAATGTAGTAAATTTGTTAAGTTGGAACTAGAAACTATATTAGACAATTTTGTTTTCACAAGAAAACCTAATGAAAGGTAGTGCCCCCTTGTCTGTGGTTTCATTTTCTTAGGTTTCAGTTACCCGCGGTCAACCAAGGTCTGAGAATATTAAATGGAAAAGTTCAGAAATAAACGGTTCGTAAGTTCTAAATTGTGTGCCATTCCGAGTAGGACAATAAACTCTTCTGATGTCCCGCTCCATCCCATCTGGGATGTGAGTCATCCCTTTGTCCGGCGTATCATTGCTGGGCTTGCTACCCACACGTGAGTTGCTTAGTGGCCCTCTGATTTATCAGATAGGTTATCAGGGATTCTGAGAGATTGAGAAAGGGGGGGGCGGAGATAAAGGGAGATACACCACATTAATATAATTTTTACTATATATAGTTATAATTGTTCTATTTTATTATTAGTTATTGTTAATCTCTCACTGTGCCTAATTTATTAATTAAACATTATCATAGGTATCTATGTATAGGAAAAAACATAGTACATATAGGGTTCGCTAATATCCGCAGTTTGAGGCATCTACTGGGGGGTCTTGGTACGTATCCCCCACGGATAAGGGGGGACTACTGTATGCCTTCTCCTTTAAGATAAGGATGTAGTAAACAGCTTTGCTAATTTAGCACTCTGTACTTGTTTCGTGTACTCTAGTCAGAGTGGATTTACCCAGTGGTTTTTTTAAAGTTTGTGTTCTTGAGAGACTAAAGAGGAAAACTGAATTGTTTGCTTCTCAACTTAATTTTTATTTTAAAAATACTTTAAAAGCACCGAAAAGTGCAGAGAATAACACAACAGATATGCAAATGCAGAATTAAAGTATTTTTTTGAAATTAAATAATAAAGAATGCTGCGGATAAAATTTTTGAATATTGCCTCTGTTGTCCAACCAGAGTCTCCTCCTCCCTATCTTTTCATAAATTTTGTCTGTATATTCTTCTATTTTGTATTTTTATATTTTATATATGCCATATATATCATGAAATATATAGATGTACATACATAAAAATATCAATTGTTTGTGTGTTAAGATATCATTTGGTATATATTCCACAATTTCTTTTACTCAACATTATGGCTTTTGATGTTTACCTATGTTGATACACAGAGCTCTAGGTCATTCATCTTCACTGCGTATTTCACAGTATGGTATATGAGTATACCATGATTTATTGTTATTATAAATTCTCGGCATGTTTGTATATGTCATCTTGTACACATTACTAGAGATTCCATTAATAGAATCCTGCAGTAGAACTGCTGAGTCATACATAGGGTGTGTGCATTTTTAATTTTTTTTTTTCCAAAGTAGTTATGCCTATTGACACTTCCACTAGCAGTATGTGAGTTTCCAACTCCTGGTATTAGACTTTTTCAATTTTTTGCCAGTCTGTTAGATGAGAATATCTCACGACTTTAATTTGGGTTTTTCACATTATCAGTGGCATCATTATTGTTTTTGCCATAGAAATTTGAACTATCCAAAGGCATGAAATCCCAATATATTTATCTGGCATAGTAGAATTAAAATATGATATAAAGTTGTGTTTTATTCAAATGGTCCTCTTATTAAAGTAATCCACAAAATTAAAATTTTAATTATCACTCTAATAGCTAAACTCACTTTTTAAAGTTTTAGACAATTTGGATAAAAATCTTTCTAAAAGATTTTGTGAAATTCAGGGTAAAGTGAATTTAGTCTTCATAATGAATATTAGGCTTCTTAAAAAATTCATTAATACTTCAGGGCCTATTCAAGTACTAAATACTTGTTTCTGTACCAGATATCCTGAAAGGTCCTCATGCTTTAGTGGTTTTTTAGGTGTGTGTTTTGTTTTGTTTTTTTCCTTTTATGGTCTTACCTCCCAAAGACTTTTCGATGAGTCCTCCCACCTTTTAAAGAGAAAAATTCATTTATGTAAATGACACATGCTCATTGCGGAATATTTTATCTTCTTTCCTTGTACATGCTGCCTTCTATTTAGAACTCTGAGGACACAAGGGTGGGTTTTTTCTCGAGCGAGAGGCACAGGGCACGTGGCAGCGGTTTATCTTCATGGGGTGGTCACTTCATGTAGTGATCACTTCCCGTTGTGCGCCGCTGTTCTGGATATTTGAAACCATTCAGTTTCAGGGAATCTGACCTGTGGGTGAGTGGGGTGTCCCCTGGATTTGCAAAATACCTACTTAAGAAGAGGCACAACTATTCTCTTCAAGAATGAATATATTTCCACTTAAGGATGTTAAATTGGTCGGTTCCGCAGGTCATCAGGGACAGTAAGGTGAGTCATTGTCTTAGAAGGTCCGAGAAAATAGGCCAGATACCGTGGTCCAAACACCAGGCTGGTTGAGCAGTACAAATACTGTGCGACCACTCATGCTTTTTAAAAGGTTTTTAATTTTTGTTTTCTTTTTACAAAATTGCTGTTGTTTATAAGTTTGCTCTTGTCTTTTCAGACTTATGATCCATTCGCCCTTGTCATCTTTTCTCATTTCAGTGTGACAAAATCAGGCAAGAACGAGATGAAGCTGTTAGAAAACTGGAGGAATTTGAGAAAAGTACGTAAGCATTTCAGTGGAGTTGTTACAACACATGGAGCTGTGTTTGGGGATTACGTGGGTAGACCTGTCCCCTATGTTTAGTTACTGATGCCTTGGGCATCCACGAAAACAAGAACTGTCTTCCCATTTGCCCCCTTGATGCCCTGGCATTACTGTGAATTTTAAAGAAATGGAATGAATATTAATATTTATTGAGTGTGTTATCATAAAAGACAGTTTGTACTTACTATAAAAAATTTTACTGCATGCACAGAACAGTTAAAGGAAAACAAAAATTCCTTGTCATCTAGACTTTTTGAGAAAAAAGTTAGCATTTTGCAGTCTTTCTTCCCTGGTCTTTTATCTGTGTAATATGTGTCTCTACCAAAAATATAGTCATACTTTGCATTTAGCTTTGCAGCTTGCTTGCTTCGGTCAACAATATATCACGGTCATCTCTGCACATTAGTAGAAATGTATTATTAGTTTTAATTGTTGCCCATAGTATTCTGTTATATGATAGTACCATAATTTATTTAAATGTTTCTTCTGTGGTAGATGGATTATATCTGGTTTTTAGTTGTTATAAATAATGCCGTGACAAGTATTCTTATACATACATCTTTACATGATTTGTTCCTTAGGGTATAAAGAAGCAATTCTAGATTCACAGAACGTACACATTTTTAAGAGCTTGAATGTTAGAAATAGGCCTCTCCCCAAGGAAGGTTCTATTCCCATGGAAGTTGTAATACTTTTTCTAAGTGTTCGCCATGTTCATTTTTATGTGATATAAATGTGTTACTACTTTATCCCCTAAGATAAAACGTATCTGAGGACACTCAGAAGGATCACAAGGAAGTATGTCATGGGAACGGGGCCAGACCTTAGCAGGGAACATGACCCCAGGTCACCCCTGGAAGCAGGGCCTTTCTCCACTGTTCTGCAGATGCTGTACCCGTCAGGCCCTTCGATTATATCACCGCGTTCACTTGGTAACTTACATAACAAAACACTGTATTCTCCTTGAAGGTAAAACGGCTAGAAAGTGCAGCGTTGCAGTTACATTTCAATAGCCAGTTTATTTCAAGTGTCTGCTGGAACAAAAAACCAAATGGTTGATGTTACCTGTCTTTGGGGGCCAGCGTGCTGTGACAGAAATAACTCCTGTGTGTGAATGTATGAATTACAATTGCGTGGGATTTTCTCTCCCCTCCCCTCATGCAGGAGTAACGAGACGTCCTTACACTTGTGCTGATACCCAGTCACATCCGGATTATGCCATTGACCTTGTGACCAATTAAGGTGCTGCATTAATTATGGACCGTGGATTGGCGCACTGTGTGCAATGGGAAGTTCTAGGGCAGTGGTTCTCAACCTGTGGGTCGCGACCCCTTTGGGGGTCGAACGACCCTTTCACAGGGGTCCCCTAAGACCATCAGAAAACACATATATAATTATATATTGTTTTTGTGATTAATCACTATGCTTTAATTATGTTCAATTTGTAACAATGAAAATACATCCTGCATATCAGATATTTACATGACGATTCATAACAGTAGCAACATTACATTCATGAAGTAGCAACGAAAGTAATTTTATGGTTGGGGGTCACCACAACATGAGGAACTGTATTAAAGGGACGCGGCATTAGGAAGGTTGAGAACCACTGTTCTAGTGGGACTTTCTTGGGACCAAGAAAGCTTTAAATATTTTTTAGAAAATTGAGTCTGAAGTTCATTTACTTTAAAAAAAAAAGATTTTTTTATTGAGTTTTACAGAGAGAGGAAAGGAGAGGGGAAATATCGATCGGCTGCCTCCTGGGCGCCCCCACCAGGGATGGAGCCTGCAACGCAGGCATGTGCCCTGAACAGGAATCAAACCGGCAGCCTCTTGGTGCCTGGGTTGATGCTCAGTCACTGAGCCACACTGGCCAGGCTGAATGTTGTTTTTAAAACTGTGTCTGTGGTTCATGACTTCTGGACACGGGGTAGAATTTTAGATTTGGAAGGCGTGAGCTAGTTATCGCCAGTGAAAAGCACCATTCGATGTGAATCCGTGTAGCCCTGAGCGGTATTAGTACAGTTGGGGTGAGTGACCCTGTTCCCTAGGCTGTTCAGGACGAAATGAGATAATCCACGTGCAGAGGGCTCAGCACAGCGCCTGGCTCTCTAGTCAGTGCTCCATGCGTGTTAGCTGCTGCTCCCCCCGTCTCACTGACTGCACCCTCCGGTGCTTGGCCGCCCTTCAGAACTGAGCTCACATCATCTGCCTTCCCGTGAGTTAGTTTCTGGACACGTCTGGTCTCCCCATGTGCACGGCTCTCGGGGAAAGGGTCTTCCGGGGCTGAGTGGAAACTGGCCCCCCTGCAGTGTTTACCTACCAGGCCTAGTTCTTGAAGAAGAGGAAGAGCAGCTGACTGAGGCTCAGAAAAAGCTTTGTTAGGCCGGGAGGAGGAGGGGGAAGCTCTACTCTCCCTGCCTTAGCCTGCTTTTCCCAGCTGGTTTTGGCCGTACAGGGGCAGGCAAAAGTAGGTTTACAGTCGTTCGTTTGGAAAATGACATGCAGGTCATGATCATTACAACAGTTTTATTAACTCAAAAGAATGTTCTTCGCAACTATAATCCTACTTTTGCCCACCCCGCATTTCCATGCCATTCTTGGCCCTCCACCAGCTCTTCCTGTGCATTTTCCCTGTATTACTACACGAAAATACCACTACATAGCAAAGCCGTGTTTCCTAGGAAGACAGGCTCCTGTGAAAGTAGAAGTAAAGACAGCCCTTTCGTGAACTCAGGCCACAACCCAGGTGTAGGGCACACCAGTGTTCCCATACCTGGCGGTTTCCATGGCTGTTTTCTTACTACAATGAAAACCTTCCCACGTAATTCGATGTTGCCGAAGGACTTCCAGTACGTTCGCCACCCACACCTCACAGACATCCTGGCATCTAAATATTGTTGAGAGGTGGCTGATGGAGAGGTGTTTAGCTCAGGAAGCAACCTCCTCGGTGGTGTCACCTTTAAATATGACAGATTAGAAGGGGACATAGAAAATTGGAGTCACCTAGAAATAGGTTTGGTTGGGTTTTAGCAGTTGGACCTCTGTCATTTGGGATTTGCTACTTCACTTCTCTGGGCCTCAGTGCTCTCAGATATAAAATTGCTGTGACAATACCTACCTCCCAGGGTGGTCATGAGGATTTATGAGAGAACCTATGTAAAGGGTTTAGCACAAGGCTGGGTACAGAGTTGGTTCAATAAATGGTGATGGTGGTTGTTTCCTAAGCAATTCTCCATGGCAGAGAACATTTTTGTAAAAGAGTGTTCACAGGTGAACTTAGGCTTGACGTATTTTCCCAGTCCTACAAACATGCACAAACATGATAACCTGCCTTGAATATAGCAGTGCGCTAAGTGCAAGAGAGTCAGACAGGAGCGAAACAAAAAATCTCTGCTCTAATGCTCAGTTAGTAAAAGACAAACACAAATTTTTTAAAAACCCAGGTTCCCTACACTGTGATGTATTCTGTAATGCCAAGTGTGTGCAGGCGTGTTTTGGGGTCATGGAAGAGGAGGGACAAACTTTGCTAATTCAACTCAACTCGATAGAAGCAATAATTGATGTATTTTTAGGTCACACTTCTGAGTTCTCCGAGTCATTAAAAAAACTTTTATTATGGAAAATGTCAAGCTTATACAAAAGTGAGAAAATAGTATAACGAACCACCGTGTACCCAACATGTTACCAACTCATGGCCAATCTTCTTTCTTCTATGTATCCACTCACCCACGCTCATTGACCTCAGATTAATTTGAAACCAAGTCCGGTCATCATATCTTTTATCTGTAAATATTTCAGTAAGCATTTCCAAAATACTAGGATTTTTAAAACATAGCTACAGTGATAGGGTCATTTTATGTGTATCCACTCACCCACGCTCACTGACCTCAGATTAATTTGAAACTAAGTCCGGTCATCATATCTTCTATCTGTAAATATTTCAGTAAGCATTTCCAAAATACTAGGATTTTTAAAACATAGCTACAGTGATAGGGTCATTTTATTTTAAAGCTCATCCTTTTTGTTTTCGTTTGTTTTGTTTTTTTAAAAAATATATTTTTATTGATTTTTTACAGAGAGGAAGGGAGAGAGATAGTTAGAAACATCAATGAGAGAGAAACATCGATCAGCTGCCTCCTGCACATCTCCTACTGGGGATGTGCCCGCAACCCAGGTACATGCCCTTGACTGGAATCAAACCTGGAACCTTTCAGTCCGCAGGCCGACCGCCTATCCACTGAGCCAAACCGGTCTTGGCCTTTTTTGTTTTTTTAAACCTTCATGTCATTCAAATTATAGGTGGTGTAGGTGCAGTGGTCATGGATTGTGGATATTGTGAGACAAGCCTGGATTTAGGACCATAGGCAAATCATTAAATGAACAATTAGAGACTTTTAAAACGTTTATCCTCTGAAAGGTGCAAATAACGTTGTATGTTAAAAAAAGTTTTTGTGTCATGTGACGTGACTTGTGGTTTTGTCAATAGGGTCCTACTTCTTAAAGGTATAAATGCCCTTTGAAGTATTTTCCTCCCTTTGAATCTAGGAAATTGCTAAGAAGGGTTCTCTGATACCAGTTTAGCACTGGGATATTTTTTTAGACTAAAAATTAAAGCGCGGTTTTTAATTTGTGCTGTTCCCTCTTAAAGGAAGAAGTAAAAACCCTACATGCATGATGGAGTATTCCATAGCAGAACTGGAGAAAGTGTGGGCTGGCGCTACCTCGCTAAGTTTATCAAGTTAAATTATAGGGAAGCTTTTTACAAAATGTTTAGAAAATACGTGTTGTTATTTCTTTTTTGCTAGGCCTAAACCTTATGACTGTGGAATAATTTTTCTTACTCTTCCCAGGAGCAAGAATGTTATTGAATAAAAAGCCAAATTCCTATGAAACATGCAGAGTGTTTATGTTTTTGTTATGATAGTGGAAATACCAGATTGTGGCAGAAGATGTCAAGTAGTTAAGGCTAAAAATTCAAAGTAATATTTGATGTTGTAAAAAAAATTGTATAGGTTTCTTTTCTCTTTCCTCTACATTTTTTGAAGAACCTACCTTGTAAATATAGTGATAAAGTGCCAGGAATATTAGGATTTTAAGGAAATAATAGAGCCCATTATTTAAACTACAATATAAAAGGCAATTATATTGATGAAGAGCTACATGGGCTTTGTGTGTGTGAATAAACTTGGTCTGTGTTCAGCTTCTATTTGTTCTTCTGGCATAAACACATATTGTGTGTGATTCCAGTTTAATGGGGACCCGTTTGTATGCCAAGCAGCTGCATTTTAGGACCTATTGCGTGATTTCATAGCTCTCTGAAAATTGGTTCTATTCAGAACAAGAGATAGAAGAGGAGGAGGGGGTGGTACTTTTCAATTGGAGCCAGAAAGGTTGATGACAACATGACCATTGTGTTATAATGATAAGACCACTAAGGCATCTGTACCTCTCATCAAGGCTTTCACACAACAGCAGATACAATTTAATTCACTGCTCTGTCAGCAGTGCTGATACCATTATGCCGTCTGTCTCCACAGTTATAATCACTGTCGCCGGAGAAATGCAGTTGAAATGATCTTGAGCAGTCAAAGAAACTCTCAATTAAGGCTGCCACTTCCAATGTGTCAGATTGTGTCTTATGCACTCGGTACAATTTTCACTTCCAATCCTGTTTATTTACAATGTCTACCAGTAATTACGCTTAACGTGTCATTTAGTGAGGGGGGCCCCTGCCATGCCGATTGTTGGGTGCTGCTGTACCATGGAGTGGGAGTTTCTCGAAGTCAATGCCATCAGCAGCTTTTAGGCCCTGATGGGATGCAGTAGTAATGTTGATAATGCAAGTATCGTGCTCATCAAGTCATAATTAGATGCCACTCAAATGTGCCACTTGTAATAACAGTGTTGATTCATGTTTTTCTCGCTGACTGCAACTACTAATTAGTTAAGTGGTTTTTGGTTGGCCTGCATTTGCCGCAGATTATTATTACCCTGGAAAAAAATGTCAAGGTTAGAGATGTTTCTGGCCATTTAGTGCTGCTCTATGAATTTGAATATTAACATAATAAGAACTTTGGACAGACTTCGGGAGTAATACATTTTTTTTTTTAATTCGGAGAGACATTTTTTTCCTCCCTGAGTTTAATCATAATTACAGGTTAATGAAGCTTAAATGAAGCAAAAGTAATCTCTCTTTGTGTTACGTGAGCCCGGTGCTTTACGCCTAACTTTGTTGGGTTTCACGTTTGGGTATCCTTCATTTTTCTTTTGTTAAAGCCAAACAAACATCAGTAAGTTTACATGTCTATGTAGTTAAGTAAGTTTGAGATGCTGAGCGTTTTCTTTTAACTACAAATATGGGTGAAAGGAATTGGCATTTTTCTTACTTGTTCTTCAAAGTATAATTCAAGTTATATACCTTTAAATCTCAAAGTATATAAACCAGCTACCAAAAAATATCTGAAAAAGAATATTTTTCAAGCAGTGGTAAAATAACAAGTGAAATTTATTTTTCCTAATCTTTCTGACCGTCTGGGATGCAACTCATTAGCATCTGTTTTCATCATTATATAGTACAAAAATCTTGTTGCTATATACTTCTCTGCCCTGGAGTTTATGAAATAATAGTGAATCCCACTGGGTCACTAATAAAGGCTATAGCAAAACTCACCTTAGCTAAGCTTCCACATTATTCTTACAGGTATGGGATCAACTCCAGATGTAAGTTTAAAACATTTCTCTTTAGCTAATTTTCCTTATTAGGTCCCACTGTATATCCTGCTAAGAAAAAGAAATCATGTTTGTCACTATTTCTGTGTGAAAGGATCTTTTGCTTAAATTAGCGGTTACATATACTGCTACAGAGAAAATAGACACTTAAAAAATGACCCTAAATAGTTTTCTTAAAATGTATTTAATAGCAATAAAAGTTCTTTGTTGTGTTCTTTTTTTTTCTTTCTGCATTCAAATATCAGCTCTGATTTAACCAGGGCAGCATCTTAAACACTTTTCCTCACCATCCCTAAAGGTCTGGCCAGTGAAAGAACTGAAGTATTCTTAATCATGGGACAAGATGCGTGGGCTTCTGGAATAGCTGACTAATCTCTGAATGCTGAGACTTTTTTCCCCCCTCATTCCTAGTTTCTCACATGGTTATAGAGGAAGTTAATTTCATGCAGAACCATCTTGAAATAGAGAAGACTTGTCGAGAAAGTGCTGAAGCCTTGGCAACAAAGGTGAGACTTCTAATGAAAGAAATGTGACCTGAGCCTTTACATTTCTGCTTGCTTTTCTACACAGCGGGTTCTGTCTTTTTTTTTTTTTTTGCTGCTTTTTTAGTTTTTCAGTCTGTCATCTCCACTGTTGAGGAAAGTGTTATAAGGTCTCAGAATCCTGAAATATGATTATGTAAATATCTGTCTTCATTACCTTCCCCCCACCCCCATCACCTTCCTCTAAAGCAGCGGTTCTCAACCTGTGGGTCGCGACCCCTTTGGCGGTCGAACGACCCTTTCACAGGGGTCGCCTAAGACCATCTTGCATATCAGATATTTACATGACGATTCATAACAGTAGCAACATTACAGTTATGAAGTAGCAACGAAAATAATTTTATGGTTGGGTCACAACATGAGGAACTGTATTTAAAGGGCCAGAAGGTTGAGAACCACTGCTCTAAAGTATTTCTTTTAATGTGACTGAAATTCTACTAACCTATGTATCTATCTAATTTGTATGCATTAACAGTATGCTTGCTAGAGGTATTTGCTGAGGTTCTTTTTATTGTACAAGGGGCATGTGTGTGTGTGTGTGTGTGTGTGTGTGTATTTCAGCATTTGTGCTTTTTGCCTATGAAAAGTAGTCCCGGAGTAATTTGTTGAACTGGACTTTCCGAATGTCTATGCATTTGGTTAAAATGCTCACCAAATTTCAAACTAAGCCGGTGTGACATAAAAGAGCAGTGAGTGTTTCATGTTGGAACCAGATGAAAAAGTCAGCCTCCAGCCTTGCATTTCAGGTGATTATTTGTGAAAGCAAAGCGAGGGCATGCGGAAGGTGACCCCCAGTGCTCTGCTGATTGCTTCTAGCTGATGAATTTACCAAGTGTGTAATTTTCTATATTCTGCCTCATCAGAAGTACATTATTATTAAAGAATGTTTTCATCTCTGTCTTATGTGTTTTGGGTTGCGTAAAAGGCATCTGAATCATTTCATCAGAAAATGGACTACAGCAATTTTCACCCAAATTTCATTAGTAATGCCGGCTGCGATTCTTCCCTTTTCCCCCATCACCTTCCTCTAAAGTATGCCTTTTCATGTGGCTGAAATTGTACAGATCTATGTATCTATGTATCTGTCTAACGTGTATGCATTAACAGTATGCTTGCTAGAGGTATTTGCTTAATTGTTTGCATAATGACACTACATTAGAATTCATAAGATATGCAGTCAGAACCTAACTAAGAATATAAATATGTGTATGTAGCTTCTCTTCTGTTATTTGTCTGAAGAACACACAGCATTATAGGCCATCAATTTCCCAGTAAAAACAGTGATAACATGGGTGCTCATGTCATCTCCACTCTCCTGCCCATCACTGGGGTGCACTGGTCCATAATACTGTGTGGACTCTCTCTTCATTTTCTTTATTTCTTCTTTTGAAACAAGCAGGGAAAATATATTGGGAGCATACTAAATGCTCTAAGGATGGTCTCTGTATTTTCTCTTGTTATTAACAAGTGTTCCTTCTCAATAGAACACCCAAAGGGAGAACAGCGACTACCTCTCAGGACTGGCAGAGTTTATGGAAATCAGTGGTTTGGGAGGCAGGAGACACAGGTGTTATTCCTGGTTATGTCATTTTAGGCATATGCGACTCTGGGCAGATTAATTGTGTTTCCCATACTGCTGTCTCGTCTTAAATGACAGGATGGACTAGAGTTAGTACTGGAATGAGAATGGGATAGACTATTCCTTTTTTCACTATGCACTTGATCCATATAATAATTTTAAAAAATACTTTATCTCCTCCCCCCGCCTTTTTAATTTGACAGGTGACTTTGAACAAGAGAATTCACCTCTGTGAGCTACAGTTATCTTGTCCTAAGTGTCAGGATAGAACAGGGTTGACTTCTTTAAGAGTACCCCAGACACACTGACTCTAGGGATGTGGCCCAGGCATGGTGGTTTTGGGTGCCTGGTTTGATAGAGGCATTAAACTCTTTTTTCACTTTTTAAAATGTTTTTATTGATTTTTAGAGAGAGAGGAAGGGAGAGGAATAGAGAGCTAGAACCATTGATGAGAGAGAAACATCATTGATTGGCTGCCTCCTGCATGCCCCCTACTGGGGATTGAACCTGCAGCCTGGGCATGTGCCCTGACCGGGAATTGAACTGGTGACCTCTTGGTTCATGGGTCTGGGCTCAACCACTGAACCACTCTGGCTGAGTCATTAAACTCTTTTAAGGGCAGAACGTTTAGCAGGCTGTTAAATAGTATTGTGATGGTGGCCTGGGAAGTAATGTATTGAAGCCAATTGGCAAAACTTAGTATTTTCTTTTCTTTTCTCTTCTTTTCTTTTCTTTTCTTTTCTTTTCTTTCCTTTTCTTTTCTTTTCTTTTCTTTTCTTTTCTTTTTTCTTTTCTTTCCTTTTCTTTTCTTTTCTTTTCTTTTCTTTTCTTTTCTTTTCTTTTCTTTTCTTTTCTTTTCTTTTCTTTTTCATGACAATCCTGCAGGAGGAAAAAATGTATAGATAAATACCTTGGTTGAAGAAAACTAGCTGATAAATGGTTTCCAAAGGAAAATTAGCACTAGCTACACCTCTCTTATTACTAGTAGCTAACACTTGCTGAATTTTTACTATGTCAGCCACTGCAATAAATACTTTATATGTAACATTTCATATTTAATCTTCATATTATGAGATAGAGTTTTTTTTTCTTAATTTACAATTACTTTATTTTTTTATTTTTTTAAGGTTTTCATTTTTTTTTAAATTTTGTTTTATTGCT